CAGGCATATTATGGCCCTATGGGTCGAATAATGGTCTGCTCATAAAATTGTCAACGTTTATTTAATAGACTCGCCCGAAAATCCGTTTCGGTTAAGTGGGACAAAGGCTTTTTGTCCGATGCTGTGAAATCCCTTTTAAATTGCTTTAAAACAACACATCAAATATGTGCAGGACTCGGGCTAACAAATGTATGTACATCCATTTGTATACATACATATGTATATAAGTGCGTGAAAATGGAAAAGCATTAAGCACAGCACAGAGCCACAAAACCATTCCTCCATCCGGGAAATGGCAAACGGGCAAAGCGAAATACTCTGTTACAATGATACATTTGACAGGCTGTTTTCGATGCTTCAGGGCTTGAGATACACTTTTTTAGTACTCCGATATTTTATGATTGCAAGAACGGTTCCATACTGTTCAGAAAATCAGAACGGGAATTCATATATATGAAACGCAATATTGGTACAAACTACATGAGTGACTAACTTGGTCGTCAGTCTATTGCCTAGTGCTATTCAGCCCTGGTAAGGACCCAAAGGACAATACTTTCCCAGGACACCGCACACATATACATCGATGTGGGGGAGTGGGGCCGTAAAAGGAAGCGAACGGGGAGAAAAATTACGCCTTCGGTTGTGTGTCAATGTTTATACTGTATCGGAAGGAGAGAAAGTGGCAATTGTGGCAAAGAGCATTGACTGTCGATGTTCCTGGTCTGTAATAATACCGATGATGATGATGATCACGATGGTCAAACAGAGAAGTGCGTGTCGAGGCGCAGGCACGTAGGTCTTAAGTGGGCCTGAAACACAGGGCCAACTGCAACTTGGTTTGTGGGTGGGCTATAAAAGGCCTGACCGCCAAGGAGGCACACTTTAGTCGACCGACATCGTCCCGGCCAAAAGGGAAAGCTCCACGGGAAGCCGACGGAACCGACGGAAGCGACGCATCCGACGGATGCGAAAGAGCCGACAGACTCACGAAGCTCGTCTGTCAGAGGAAATCAGGAAGCAAAAGCAAATCAGGCAGCCAGAAGCCAAGTTAGCAGCGACAGGCGGCAAAACAAATTTAGTGTAACAATAGCAACTGCCGACGACGCAACACGGAGTCCGGAAAAGTTCGAGTTCGCCGTGGAGTGCGCGTATATACACCCAACTTTACGCATCCGGGGATGCTGTGCGTGTGCAGGCGCATATGCCTTCCTTAAATTATAAATAAGCGACAGGCAAATGCCCCGTGGATAAAATTAAAACTCATTCTGAGGCACAGACAAACGCGACTCCGATGCTGAAGAACCTGATGCGATTGAGCTAGGGGATTGGAACGAGGCGGAAAGCAATATAAGGTAAGAGGAATCGCTGGGGCTATAATAAGCTAATTTCACGGTCTACTAATCAAAGAGATATATGGGTAAAATGATGGGATTTTCATACATCCGAGGAAGGCAGTTCGTCAAAGGATTAGGAAGCTATATGAAAACAAGAGGTACTGCATCATTTGAGTTAAAGAGTGTGGCTAAAGTTACGATTGACTTGGCCACTATAATCCATTTTACATTATCGTCCAATCCATTATTTATCAATTTATAAGCTACCATGAATTATGAGTATTATTAACTTTAGTATAAAGGAGCAGAAGTTAAGCATTGCCCTTATGTTCTATTTGACCATGTAGACTTCCTGACCATTAATCAAGCGTTAGCATTTTCAAACAGCATTTTTATCTACGTTTTACGACCTTGGGCTTGTAGGAAATTTGCATGTTTCTGCCAAAATTAAATACACTCAAACTCGGGAAAGATGTTCGAGAATTTATGGCTCAGTTAGCTAGTCTGAGTGGGAAAAAAGTAGAAAGCAGGCTTTGCCACAAGCGAATTACCGGCAATAGGAAACGGAAATAAGTTAAGCACAATGAGCTATGTTCCTTTCGCCAAGAACGTGACAGGCTTGAAGGACCTTGAGGAGGGTCCTCCCACTGGAGGCTTCCCTGCGTGTGTCTGCCACATGAACTGAAATTAAACTGTCGGGTCCATAAATCAAATGATACGAGGGATGAGTGCTGTTGCAGGCTAGATAAGAGGATATCCTCTGACGGTTTAAATATACATATGTCACCTTACTCTGATTACTTGTTAAATGAATTTTAAATTGATGTCTCTAAAAATGGAAAACAGATTCACGGGTCAAGCAACAGAACAATTATTAAATTGATTTCTTATTTTATCAGAAGGCAACAATTTTTTGGCACAGAGTTTTGACTGAATACAATTTAACGTGCACCTTCAGGAGTTACAAAACCACATTTATGCAAAGCCTATTTCAGTAAGATCCTAAGCCACAATCAATCACTTGAGTTATATACGAGTTTGTTGACCTAATCCCTCACCCAACGCAACGAAGTTGCTCCAAATCCTCCGGGGTAGGAATACAGTTTACCTAATTACCAGCTTTGAACGATGGAAAAACTTTGTCTAACCTCACCCCTGATTATGTGACTGCCCACTTTGGTTCGTTACAGGAAAACTTTTACGAAAGCAATTTGGACGATAGACAGGACTTCATAGGACCGAGGACATTCACATCCTGCCCCATCATGTACGGAATGCTGTACGAGAGCGTGCAGCACTACATCCAGCAGGAGTACGGCATGGAGACCTGGCGGAAGGTCTGCCAGATAGTCGACTGCAAGCACCAGAGCTTCAAGACGCACCAGATCTATCCGGACAAGCTGATGCCGGACTTTGCGGCAGCCTTGTCCGCCAGCACGGGCGAGTCCTTCGACTTCTGCATGAACTTCTTTGGGCGCTGTTTTGTGCGGTTCTTCAGCAACTTCGGCTACGACAAGATGATCCGCTCCACAGGGCGATACTTCTGCGACTTCCTGCAGTCCATCGACAACATCCACGTGCAGATGCGCTTCACGTATCCCAAGATGAAGTCGCCCAGCATGCAGTTGACCAACATGGATGACGATGGGGCTGTGATCCTGTACCGCAGCGGCCGAACTGGCATGTCCAAGTACCTGATTGGCCAGATGACGGAGGTGGCAAAGGAGTTCTACGGCCTAGACATGACTGCCTACGTCCTGGAGAGCCAAAATGACATTTGCGGTGGCACAGCAGGTCCCATCAAGCTTACGGAGGGTCCTCTGACCGTGATTGTAAAGTATCGGCTGGACTTCGATAATCGCGACTATATGGCCAAGCGGGTTAATGTCATCGCGCATCCTTCCCAGCTCAAGATGCCGTCGGTGGATCTGAATGTGTTCCTCGAGCTGTTTCCCTTCACCATTGTGCTGAATCACGACATGAAAATCACACTTGCGGGCGAGAAGATTGTCGAGACGTGGATTCTGCACAATCCTGGGGTCAATCCAAAGACCTTCATTGGCAGTCATATATTGGATCGGTTCCAGTGCCGCCGTCCCAAGGACACTCAAATCCAATGGGAGACCATTCTGCAGATGCGAACAGTACTCTTCGAGTTCGAGCTTATTCGCACGGGTCACAACCGTGCCGCCTATGATGCGGCCTTGAACTTTGACTTTGAAAACTTTGATGAAGCCAGCAGCCTGAACGAGGCGCAGGCCATGGCTTTGGCCAGTGCCAAGGAGTTCAGTGCGGAGAACGCCAAGGAAGAGGCAGCTGGCGCAGCCACCTCCAAGGACGAAATCGATCCCGCCACGGGACAGAGACGCCATTCGGTGGGACTCCGATCCATCCTGTTGAAGGGTCAGATGTTCTACATCAAAGATGTGGACTCGCTGATCTTCCTGTGCAGTCCTCTAATCGAAAATCTGGATGAGTTGCACGGAATTGGTCTGTACCTGAACGATCTCAATCCGCATGGACTGAGTAGAGAGCTAGTGATGGCCGGATGGCAGCACTGCTCTAAGCTGGAGATCATGTTCGAGAAGGAGGAGCAGCGCTCGGATGAGCTGGAAAAGTCGCTGGAACTGGCAGATTCGTGGAAACGGCAGGGGGATGAGCTACTGTACTCCATGATTCCGCGGCCCATTGCCGAGCGAATGAGGAAGAGCGAGGAGCATGTGTGTCAGAGTTTCGAAGAGGTGTCCGTCATCTTCATCGAGGTGCTGAATGTCTATGACAGTGGGTCCAACAACATACAGGATGCCATGCAGGCGGTGACCACCTTGAACAAAGTGTTTTCGGCACTGGACGAGGAGATCATTTCCCCATTCGTTTACAAAGTGGAGACCGTGGGCATGGTTTACATGGCTGTTTCGGGGGCTCCTGATGTGAATCCTTTGCACGCCGAGCACGCCTGCGACTTGGCCTTGAGGGTGATGAAGAAGGTCAAAGCCCATGCCCTTCCCGGAGTGGCCATACGGGTGGGCATCAACTCGGGACCCGTGGTTGCAGGAGTGGTTGGGATGAAGGTTCCTCGATACTGCCTCTTTGGAGACACCGTTAACACCGCCTCGCGAATGGAGAGCAGCAGCGATCCCTGGATGATCCAGCTATCCAACTACACTGCGCTGAAGGTGAGGAAGGTGGGCTATAAGGTGGAAGCGCGGGGATTTGTCAAAGTTAAGGGCAAGGGCGAGATGGAGACCTACTGGCTATTAGAGGGACCAGAGTAGTACTGAACATTTGTGTTTTTAATAACCCACAATTGGTACAATGTACATACATATAACAAAGCGGAACATCACCTCTGGGTAAACAAATATCAAAACCATATTTTGAGAATCAAAATCTTGTAACCTTTTTGAAATAATCAATTTTAAAATCATTTGAAATGTAAAGTTTTGTCAAAAAAGTCATTTTCGACTCCTTGGTAAAAGTAAACAAACACCTAATCACCCATAGATAAAAGTGGATTAATTTAAAAATAAATAAATACAAGGCACATTATTTACATGGGAGTGGGGCGAATCCGACCTGCGATCCGAATTAGGACCTTGATGAAAGTGGTTCTCTTAATGCCGAAGGCAAGTAATCTACATATATGCAATCGAAATCGGTTCCCGCGCTTGCTTCTTCGATCAGCTGTTCGACTTGATATTTCGGAAGACCATTTTCAAGTTTATGGTTTTCAATATGATACGCTTCAATTTAATCGTAGCAGTTGGCGAGAATTTCGGAATCGGCTACAAAGGCGATCTACCGTGGCGCATCAAGTGAGTTGGCAATAAAGATTACACAGCCAGCTATAGCTCCAATACCCGCAGATCCGAGCTTAAGTACTTTAGCCGCATTACCAAGCGAACAAACGATCCCAGCAAGCACAATGCCGTTGTGATGGGCAGAAAAACCTACTTCGGAGTGCCGGAAAGCAAGAGACCTCTTTCCAATCGGCTGAACGTAGTGCTGAGCACCACACTTCAGGAAAACGAATTGCCCGAGGGAGTACTGCTGTGTTCCAATCTCGAGACGGCCTTGAAAGTCCTCGAGAACAAGAACGATGTGGAGAACGTTTGGATTGTGGGCGGTAGTGGGGTCTACAAAGAAGCCATGGCCTCGCCAAGATGTCACCGGCTGTACATCACTAAAATCCTGCACAAGTTCGAATGCGACACCTTTTTCCCCGCGATCCCAGACAGCTTCCGCGAGGTCGCGCCCGATTCGGACATACCACTCGGTGTTCAGGAGGAGAATGGCATCCATTTCGAGTACAAGGTCTTGGAGAAACAGTCAAAATAAAATTATCCACTAATTTATTTGCCTTGCACATCTTCTACTCCCTTGGCCGCCAGCATCAGTTCGTAGAGTTGTACAACCTGGTCGTCCTTCAGCATTTCCACGGTCTTCGGATCAATCTCTTCGCCCAAATCCCCCTTGGGCTTGCCCCGAATCCCCAGTTGTTGGGTGATTGTAGACGCATATCGCTGCAATGAAGGATTTGCTGAGAAGTGCGCCTTTTTGTTTATTACGTAAAACTTACGGCCCACTCTGTCATAAAGAGCTGTGCCTCCATGGGATTGCACGTGAGGTGCCGCCGGAACTCGTCCCGCACATAGTTATCCCCCAGAGCACGCAGTTCCGCTGGGAGTCCTACGCAGTGCAGAAGCCGCAGTTAAATTGTATGAACTTTAGGGGAAAAAAGGAATCTGCCATCTCACCTCTGTGCAGTCGCAGAATCGTTTTGTACAGCAGGCGGACGCGCTGCGGGTGGGTCAGTTGGCTCATCAAAATTCTGGACATCCTGAGTTTATTTCATATATAACATTCTAATACTATATTACTAAGCTGCTGGCTAAAAAATAATAAGCGAAGAACAACTGTTTTGTATCAGCCAGTGTTGGCTAACGCCGAATTAGGGCTCAAATTGAGTTGACAGTTGGCAACGTACGAAAAGTTTGGCGCGCATTTGAATTACCACCTTTAAAAGTTCTAAGTTATACTATAAAGTTATATTATAAATCTTTTTGCAAAGTAAACTGTTATAGTTTAATTAGGAATTTTAAGTCATTTACAACTTTAATTTTTGCATTCAAATCGCATTGTAGCCATTAAAAATAAAACATACTTCTGCGACACAAATCTATTTTTATCCCACGGTAAAAAGGTTACTCCAAGCATTTTCAAGGATTTAAAAAATGTGCAGTGGTCTTTTTACATAATGATTTATTTGTGGCATGTTTGTATATATGTATATAATCACATGTGCAGTGTAGGTTCAATCTGTCGTGGATTTATCCCTTGGGGCTAAATTATAAATTAAAGAACATCTCGGATGGAAAATGTGCTCTACATCAGAAACCAAACCAATAAATGACATACACACACGCTCTGCACCGACTTTGGCTAACTATTGCACGCCTTTCTTTCAATACTTTACGCCTAATTACACCAAGCACCAAACTGAAGGTGGCGGAGGGGTACACAACATTGTTGTCATCGTCGTCGTTTTGAACAGAAGAACGTTTTAACAATCAAGTTTTCTAGTTTTGTTATTGCGGCGCGGCAGCAGCCGGCGCCGCTGGATTCGCTGGTTCTTCATCCTGTCCGTCATCCGCATTCTCTTCTGGCAGCAGGGGCTGACCCTCGCCGCCCCAGGGAAACCCACCAGGTCGATCCTCGGCAGCAGTCTGGAAGTTGCGTTCGATGTGCTCATTGAAGAGACGTTTCCTAAGGACAAAAAGTAGTTATTGCAAAAGTTATATTCAATTTCGTAGTGCACGTACAAAAAGTATGGGGTTTTGATCAGTCTGTAGCCGTTGGACAGTGTGGGATAGACGTCCTCCAGCACGTAGTAGATGTGGCCAACACCCATGCCGATGACATCTACCCACACGGTGTTTCCCAGGATCATGGAGCAGCAGAGCAGAACCCATGGCAGGTAGGGCGCCTGGAAGTTAAGCACCCCGAAGAAGTTCATGGGCACCAGGGGATTGCGGCGTGACCACACATAGACCAGCATTAATGTGAAGGCTTGGCCCAGGAACAACAGGTTGACGAAGATTCCGAAGAAGGTCATCAGCACGCCGCCAAAGATGAACATCATGACAAAGTCGGAGCTGCGTCCGCGGAAAGAGCCGTCCTCCAGCATGCGACAATAGCGATATGTAAACACCATATTAAAGAAGAAGCTTATGCCTATGGTGCCAAAGTACAGGAATGTGGTGGCGAGGCGCCAGATCTGGAACTTGTGCACAATCAGCGTGGGATTGAAGTAAAGCTGCAGCGGCGACACCAGGTCCAGATGCTTGAAAGTTGGCAAATTATAATCGACGATAATACACGTACACGTCATCCGCGCTCAAGAACGCAATCCGGGATGCACTTACCACCGCCAAGGTGGTCAGCACGCACACCGTGGTGTAGGCCCGTGTGACCACCGGGATCTCCAGGTAGAACTGCCGCAAGGCATTCATGGCGGCTCCTCCTCCAACGTTGGCAAGTGGGTTGAGGTCGTATCCTTTGGACTCGGCGCTACTTCACTGTTGATTCGCCCACATCCAGCGGCGGTCGAGCTGTCTTCGGTAGTCGCCTCACCGGATGTTCTGTACTCCAGGATAGAGACGAGTAAATGGATTGGGAGCAGCGCACAGGCCGATGGGAAAATAAATGGAACGCTAGTTTTTATTTTTATGAACGAGGTTAGTGGTGGGCAGATTACTAGTGACACTGGCGCCAGCTATCGATAAGTCTTGGTCGTGACACGACACTTTTAATTTAAATTTAATTTTAATTTAATGTTTTGCTTAATAGAAACATCTTAGCGTAAGCTGAAAGCTTGAGCTTAACTCTGATTCCCATTCTTAACTCCCATTCTTCTTCCCATATCAGTACGTCTATTTATTTTTATGTTTTTATTGCTTTGCGCTTTTCAGCGAAGATAAAAGCAGGTAGTAGTAGTGCTGTGTAGATTGAACACTATCCCATTCCATTTCTACCGAACCTTTTAATAATGACTTCATTCAGTCGGCTTCGACACATCATAGATTTTTGCAGATCTGGAGAACTCTCTCGTACATAAGATCGGAATCTTTCGCTGGATCTGCAGAATATTATAAATGCACCGCACGAACTTTAACTTAGCGACAACATGGATCGCATTCCTTCATATGAATGGAACAAAGTCTATTTTCAAACATGATTTTTATAATCATTTACATATTTTATTTAAGCACATTAGTGAGTCGACTAAAAGACCTAAAACATTACTTATATTCATTGTTTGTGCCACATAAATACTCAAATAAGTAGACTACACTTAAGAAAGCAAATGATATCCACACTAATGCTTGTCTTAGGAAAAAAGAACAATACTAATTTCAATTGCAAATGAAACGCATAATTGGGGTCTTTGGCAATTGGACAGTTTGTAATTCAACAGCCATGTATTTTGTTGTACAAAAACTTGTTTCAATGGATATTTTTTACGTTCGCCGGTTCCATTTATTAACAATTTCCATGCAATGGTTTCTATCCCTACGAATGCGACTCACTGTAAGCCATACATCGAATCAATTACAACAGCAATAATGAGATTACAACAAATAACAACAACATTCATTGCTCAGCCAGTTTGGCCAGCAGCTCCTCCACAACATCGACATTGCGCACAGAGATTATACCACCTGCATTTCGCTTCCAATCGGCATCAGCTTCAGCATCCTCAATCAGGTACTTTAGTGGTACTGCTCTCTGCTCCGCCACACTGGCCGTATAGTCCAGTACATCGCCGCCGAGAGCACGGAGAATGGCTTGTGGAGCACAAGTGTCCCACTTGAAGGTGGATCCTTTGCTAAGCAGATACACATCCACCTCGTGGGTAATCACCTTCAGGGCCTTATGCCCAGCACCAGCCGAAAATGCAAACTCGTAGCCCAGATCGAGGAAACGCTGAAGGATATCGGACTGCTCCGAGCTGGAGAAGATGCCCAAACGACGGTTCTCATCGCGCGCCTCGAAATCGCAGTTGTGGGCCCTTAGCGTGGGCAGGCAAACACCCCAGAACATCGAGGAGCTGTACACGTTCTCCTCCAGCTTCTCCCCAAAGGGCTGAGCCACCACTCCGATCACCGGCACCCCGGTGTCCCGTTCGTAGACGCCAATTAGCACGGTGACGCAGTCCAATCCGGTGGACGTGATGCCGGGGAAGTCGGTGAACATGGTGTCGCCCGAAATGTACTCAGCGGTAGCGTCTGCAAAATACAAACATATTGATTTTGGGTGAGTCAGATAAATGTATATACAATTGAGATTAAATAACGAAATAGTGTATTAGCTCGTCGGTTTGACGTTGCTTCTGATGGTGATATCACACATAAAGAATGCACACATAAATAAACAAAAACTAGAAATGCGGTGGAGAATTACTCATACGGTTTTCACTGGATGTATAAATATAATAAATTATAATCCTAAAGAGTAGGTGGAATGTAAAGAAAAACCATTTGAAGAACTATGTGCTTTGTAGTTTTGAAGAGTAACATATCCTGTGGGGATTTGTAAATGGTTAAAGGAGCTACGAACCAATGGGATCGATCCAGATGCCCAAATTGGCGTAATCCAGTTCATCCGGCAGTTGGGCAATCTCTCCCAGCTTTTCGCTGCTGAAGCTTACATCCCGGTGGACTTCTGTGGCCAGGGCAATAGCAGCACCCTCGTGCCCGCTAAGTACAGCCTGCAGACAGGAGGCGGTGTCCTCCTTAGTGGCACCCACTGCAATGGTGACACTCTCGCCCAGCTTGTTGGTGAAATTTGGCGATTCCTCGCCCAGGATGGCATCCTGCATGGCGGGAAAGAGCAATGCCACCTCGTGCTTGATCGTCTCCTGTATGAGGACGTCGGCCAGGGTCTTGAAGTCGTGCTCGAACCGCTCGTTGGCCTCCGATCCGCTCTTCTCCTGCACCAGCAGTCCCAGGAGCTCCTCGTTGGAGCGACATGTCCTGGCTATGTTGGCCGCCTTCTCCGCACAATTGATCAGTACGCGCAGCAGACTCGCCTGCTCCTCGCCGCTCATCCTGTTCCTGCTGGCTTGCTGCTTTCTGCGGCCTATTTGGCTTCCATTTCCACACTTCTATGGCTTTTCCTTCTCCAGCTGCGAATTTATGTGGGCTCTTCTGGTTCAGTATGTTTTTCTCTTCGACTACTAAAACGCCTCGCTGGAGTCACTGGAAAGCTGATCAGCTGGCCACACTTCTGTAAATACTAAATACTGCAAATGGGAAATACTGAAACAACGCGCGTGGTTCAAATACTTGAGGTA